CTGCTGCTGCTGTAGTAGTAGCAGTAGTAGTAGCAGTGTAGTAGCAGTAGCAGTAGCAGTCGTAATAGTAGTCGTAGTAGTAGTAGTAGTAGTAGTAGTACTACTACTACTACTACTACCACCAGTACCAGCACCACCCTACAACCACCACCGTGTCGTACTGAAGACGCGCAAAAGGTTTCGCGCTCTCTTCTGGCGTGCGGAGGGGCCTTCGAGTTCGGAACGACTGTCCCTCGCCAGGTGAAGATCATGATGTCGCATGACCCGGAAGGCGACATGCTACCCGTGGTGCTTTCCGATACAGTCAACAAAGCGAACAGAGAGCCTGGATTATCGCAGCAAGCTGGACCGTTGACTCTATGTTCTGGCTGGTCTAAGTCTAAGCCAAAGCCCCGGGCTTATGCATAAGTGTGTATGTATGACATAGTTGTACTATTCATACGCAAACGTAACATAAAGATACACCTGGTCACTTCTGCTTCGGCACATGCATGCATGCATGCGCGCATGCGCGGAGGGATGGATGGATGGATGGATGGATGGATGGATGGATGTGTGTTTGTATGCCTGTATGTTTGCCTGTACGTACGTATGCATGCATGTATATATGTATGCATGTACACAAGTGTGCAAGTGTGTATGTATGTGTGTATCTGTATGTATGTATGCAAGCATGCATGCATGTATGTGCGTGTGTGTGTGTGTGCGCGTGTGTGTACGTATATTCAGAGGTATGCATGTACGCGTGTATGTGTACGTGTTTTGTGTTTCCTTGTTGTTTCTATTTGCTGATGCGCTGCAGGTTTTCAGAGTCTCGACATGCACAAACGGAAGTTTCGCAGGTGACATCAGACAGCCAACAACTGGCGTCGGCAGCATGCCAACGATTCAAGAGTTAGTTTGAAACGCCAGAAGCTTTGGAGGCAGTATATAGTCCATTCTGTTCTATTTCATTCTATTATTTTGTACTGTTCTGCATTGTCTTACTTATCTTACCCCGTCCTCTCTCACAACATCTGATCTTTTCAAATCCTACATCATAAACCACCATAACATATCAAGTTATGCGCCGATCCAGGAGCTCTTAGACGCGGGTGGCTGCATTCCACATTCAGAGCTGAACACGCTTAGGGTTTAGGGGCAAGGGAAGAGTGGCTAAGTACCAGGTGTCCTTGCATGCAAGCCTGCAGCAAAGGGATCTCGTCCAAGAGCAGAACCCGAAACCACGAGTTGTTAGCTGCAGGGAAGATGGGGCCAAAGATGCAGCTCCCTGACAACGTGATCGTGCACGAGCCCAAAGAGGAAGCTCCTCCGATGATGTGCCTCGTCACTGTGATAAAGCCATCAACTTCCACTAGAATCCCATTCGACTATAGGCCTTTTTAAATCAGGGCCTTGAAATCGTGGAACACCCGCGAAGACTTGTTTGCAGCTAGTCTTCGAGATTCTTGGATCTTTTGGCCTCTTTACTGGCTTCGGGTGTAGTGTGCCGAAGCCAAGCACGGCTTCGGGTCACGTGGTGTGTGATTTATGATCCTTGAGGTACGGTGACTCTTCTATCTAGGCGTTCCCAGTTCAGGCAACCGCGGCTCCTCCGCCACACAGAACCGAGCTGTTAGTTGGGGAGCCATTGCAGAACCTGTATACATGAACGGCAAGACTAGACATACACATTGCAGATGTTCTTTTGGTTAAGGCCTCAACCATTGGAACTCACAGTTCAAGCGTGATATCTTTCGTCCATCTGCCTGCAATGGGAGAGTAAGTTCTGAAGGACTCTAGGTTTCGTCACTCCAGCCCTTGTTGTGACGAGGATGTCAAGAGCCCATCATCATTCAGCGTCATTGGCCCTTTTGCGACTTCGGAGTGTTTCGAGCTTGGACTCAGGGTTGGGTTTCCCCGTCAAAAGTTCGTTCTTGGGGTGACTTGCCGAGTCGAAAGCTAAGCCTCGAAATTGTATCCTTTCCCTTAGTATTGCAATTACCGATACCATGTTGGGAGTTCCTGATTACAGAACCCCAAGACCCATTCTAATCTGGTCAGCCTTGCCTTCACGGCTTTTCATGGTAGGTGCTAAAGCTAGTATTTGGGCCTTAATAATTAGAATAGGATATGTTGTTGGTACTTATTTCGGCCCCTTTTTTAATCTGCCCACAGGCCATCCCAAGATGAGGGATATGGCGGCTACGATCAGCAAGAGGGCGGCTACTGACCGACGCCGGGCCAGGTTTGAGTCTATGTGCAGGTGCAGTGGTAGGTACAGCGAGCAGGAACCCAAATGCTAAACTCTACAGCCTTGCGGATTCAGTTTGCATGTTCATGATGAGGACGACGAAGGACTTACATAGAGTGCACCTCAACTTTGCTTCAAGCCTTTTCGCCAAGCCAGCAGACCATTCATATTGCAGAAAACCGTTTTGAAGAGAGATAGGATGTCAAGTCTCGCTCGGATAGATACTGGAGGAGGTCGGATATTGGAGGAGGGTTTCCTTGTTAGACTCATTGGGTCCAGCGGCTTCCAGATCCTGCAGGAATTTTCAACTTCCTGAGTTTGTCGTAGTTAGACAATGGCGCAAGGCTTTGGGGACACAGCATCCAGCTGTTGGGGACTATGTTTGCTTCGGGTCCTGTGCTCCTTCCTGCTTCTCAGGACCTGGTGGCAGCAAAGAATCGGGCAAAGAATCGGGCGCATCCGAAGAGCAAAAAGTTGCTGGACAGCTTGTCACCAAACGCTTTGGTCGGTTGCCGCCGTCCATGTCGCAAAGCTTGTACTCTGAATTATCGGAGCCCTCAACCCCACAGCAGTCAAGCATACTTCGCTGAATATCTGCTCAGTCTTACTGTCCCCGTCTTGGGTTCCTAAACAGTGAGTTTGTCGTGGTAGGGCGCGAGAAGTCACTGTACTCGCAGAACATGTGCCGCCGTCGTACTCGGTGGCAGCTGAACGAGACTCGCGGAAGTAATTCAAAGCACGATCCTTCAAAGAAGCTCAGGACACAGGCAGGAATAATGCAGTCTCGGAGTGCCTGTTGCCACACACTGCAGATGTACATTCAAGATATGTACATATGCATGTATTTATGTAGATGTACAGATTTACATCTATACACACCCAATACTTACATGTTTGTCTTTCCATCCGTCTGTTCCTCCGTCTGTCTTTCTGGCTGGGTCTGGTCTTTCTGCACCCATACAGATGTGTGTTTGCTCACATATGCATACTCAGGTGTGAGTACACACGCAGACATACTTATTTCTGTATCTTTGCGCGTGCATACATCCGGTACGCTATCTCTGTGCCGGATCGTTGGTTATCACGGGGGTCCCTGAAGTTGTGGTTTGAACGGCATCCCTGACGATACCTTCAAAGTGTTGGAATGATGAAGTAGGACCTTTGAGCTTAGATTGTAACCAATACTTGAATTGCAGCAGTACGTGAGGCAAATAATTGAAGTGTTTCCTCTGGAGCTCGCAAGCTGAAGGGGCGGGGAGCTTACGAAACGTGCCGGTAAGATGGCGGAAAGCAGCTTCCCGCTGGTCCCGGCACTTCCAGTACATGGGGCGAATAATCCTGAATCCCGCCAGTACTGTGGTTCTGAATCCCGCCAGTACTTGGGGAAAAGCATTTGTCAGTGTACGCCGTCGGTCGTCCAAGGACGCAAACCAAGAAAACCACAAAGAAGCCAGAAGAAGACTCCGAACCTCGCACACATTCGAACACCCAGCAGACACACACCACCAAAAACCCCCAAAGGTGCTCTCCTCGTGCTGTCCCTGATTTTTTCTGCTGGTCTCCTGATGGTCTCCTGGTGGTCTCCTGTTGGTGCTGGTCCTGGTGGTCTGTTGGTGCTCTCCTTGCGGTCTCCTGGTTGTCTCCTGCTGGTTGGTCGTCTCCTCGTCGCGGCGGTCACTTGCTAGTCTGTCAGTGGTCCTCCTGGTGGTCTCCTGCTCCTGGTCGTTGTCGTCGTGGTCGCCCTGGTCGCAGCACTCGTCATGGGTGGTGACATGGCGTAGATGCTGGAAACCACAGGTGGCAACTAGTTGCGACCTGTGTTTTCCAGAGCAATTCATGGTTTGTGGTCTTTCACTGTTTGGAGGTCTCTGCTGGCATATTAGATCAGGGTTTGCTGTGTGAGATCTTCTTGGCACCTTTCGTTTTCCACACGTAGAAACATCGAGTCTCAAGAGTTGTATGTTATTGAAGGTTTCGCACGCAAAGGGCCAGGAGTACTACCACAAGCAGTCCCAAGCACAAGATGGCATTATGCATAATTTGAATTCAACGGATTAAAAACCTCTAGCAAGCGACTGCTCGGCAACTTTCACCAGGACCGACTCCCATTCGTAGATGTGCCTGCTTGTCACCGGACCTGGCATCGTATGATATAATGTATTACATTATGTCGGTTATACTTGTTACTCTGTATCATCCTATACTGAACACATTTTTAGATGCATCGGCCGACAGTGCAAACCGCCCACACGAAATATGGCGGGTCACGCTCGTGGAAAAACTTCCCAAACTGGACCGATC